TCAAGTCCTTGCTAAAGCCGGATGCCTACTGAAAAAGCGATTGGCTGCTGGAAAGAACACTCCAGTGCTTGCTGTCCTCACCAATGGGACTCTCTTTCGCTTCTTTGCGATTGATATTGACGGGGTGGTGTATGCTTCCACCATTCATCTATTGGAAATTGGAATGGACAGAACATACAAGACAAGCACATCTCTCTCTGAAATCCTTCGCTGGTTCACTTGGTTTATGACTGCCATCAAGTCTGTCTCTCCCCGTGCGTCCAGCGAGGATTTGACCGACACAATGACTACTGACTCGCTGACTCGACTCAGAAGCTGCTTTGAGCCAAAGGTTCCGATTCAAAACAAAAAGGCCAAGATTGAAAAGTAGTATGTCATAATAAATATCTTATTTGCTTGAAATTCAATCTCAATTCTAATTACCAAATTTCTGTCAACACTCTGGTAGATGAAATCTCATCAAATTTCAGCGGACTCTCGCCAAAAAACTGGTATCATTCGGTGCTCTATACATACTACTGACAAGTCTTTCAAATAGGAATCAAGTAATTTACAGATTTGAAATGCTTCATCGAAAATAACTACATGGGCGTGTCTTTCAAACAAGCCACCATGCAAAACTCCTAGATCCCCAACATCTTGCGAGACAGCAAGGAATTAGACGAGTTCATTGCATTTTCTTTCATAGACTTGCAAATAGACTTGATCAACGATATATTCGAACACAAACATATAGTGAATGGTACAAACCCATCACAACGTGAAGATAAGCAAGCGATGGCTGCTACATCCAAAGCTCAGGATTCCCAATATCTTTAACCAACAAATCCAAATCAACAGCTGTAATGGCACTATCGAATTTCTGCTGCTGTACCATACTCGGCATTTCCCAAGCCTAATAGCACAAATATATGAGTTTGTTGGCATTTTGATAAAGTAGAGGTGACATTTTTGTTGGTAAACTAAAAGTTTTTGTTCACAAACGACAAAACGTTGGGTCAAGTTTAAAATCAGTAGTGCTACTCAAGCCCATACTGAAAAGTGTTGGAATGTTGACGACTTTCTCAAGGCTTTCAAAAAAAGACTTCATCTTTTTTGGATTCTTACGCTCTTGCTCAACTTTCTCTTTCTACTACTGGCGGTACTCTTTTGCGATCAGACAATTCTATTCCAGCCCAAATGTCGCAAATACTTTTTTATATCAATATTTCAAACAGTTCTGCTCAAGGTATTGCTCTTTGTCTGGATTCAGTTAAAAGCTCTTCAGTAAACGGGAAAAAAGATGGAAAACGATGAAATTGAAAAAACAAAAAGAAGTTAGGGGAAACTGACTATTTTATGTGAAATCGAGTTAAAAATGTGCCACGAACAACTTCTTAAGTTTAGTCATCAAGGCAATTCCAGATATCCAATTTAATATCCTCTCACAATATTTTTTGTTTGCTATAAAATGTTTTGGTCCTGTTACTTTAGGCAAAAGGTCTCAAATTTCATTTGATTGTATCAATCATCACTTGTATGTTTCTTTTTCAATGAAGGTGTTCAAATTCAAGTAAATGAAGATTTGGATGAAGATTTTTTAAAGGCTACCAATTATTTTGAATCTGTCTTGCATCGTGGTGATAAAAAAGTTTACATTGTTGAAGCAAAGAATGATATGCGTCAAAAATGGTTTAAATTTTACTTGAATGTGAGGTTGCAGCAAAAATTGGTCATTTGGATCCGGTCTATGGAGTTGTTACCAATTATATGCAGTGTAATTTTTTGCGTAATCTTAATGAAAAGATTGAATTGAAGAAGTGTTTCATCAAATTGTTGTCTAGAGGTGAATCTAGTACATATTCTTTTGTCGATATCACTGGAAAAATCTATGCAATGTTGTTTAGCGAATGAGATAAATTCTAGACCTTTAATTCAAGTCTTAAGACAATCAACCACACATTAAAAGCATTTCCAAAGGCCATATATTTGTTTGGGTCCTCATGAATTGTTTGTATTCATTTATTTTTATCCTTTTAAATCTCAAATATTTTCTAATTTCTGAAACAGGACGGAAATGAATGATCTGATCAAGCAAATCAGTTTACCAACTATTGTAAAAGTAATGCTATTATAACAAAACAACAATTCGCAAGACACCACAACAAGAAATTACCTGTCTTCATTAAAAGGCAACTGAGTATAATTCAAACAATTGATTTTAAATTAAAAACCTGTCATTGTCCTTGATCGCAATCTAGCATGACAGTCACACAAGAGATCTGCCAATTACATTTTTGCAATGCATCGGGGAATGTGCGCTCATTGATTATTGCAGAAAGCACACTGGAATGAAAAATCTTTGTGTTTACGGCATTCATTCTACCGGCTCCATATGTAAATTTGTTTTTATTGATGAAAATGGATCATTGTCTTGAAAGAGTATCAGTCGAATGCCAAAAATTATGTCAAGAAAGGGCTTGACCTAATTTACCGTCTTTGTACGACACCTATTGCAGCTTCAGCATCTATCAATCGATAAAAAGACTATTAATTGACAAGCATTGAAATTACACACTGTCAAGTGATCTACATCTTTCAGGTAAAAAACCTATATCAGCATCAGTTTCAGTCGAAATTTTGAATAGACTTGCATATGGTCGGTTGGTTGACTTGGGTCATAGTATTTTGTAGCTTGCCTAATTCATTATTGTGATTACCAACTCTCTAAGACTTTTCAGTGGTACAAAGCTATTATTGACTTTTATCTACATATTCTAGATTTAGGCGTAGCACTTTGTTTTTCAATGAGCTACGTAAACATATTTCTATGATTGGATGATACTTTAAAACGCGAGTGTATTAACCTGCCTTTGGCGAACATTCGGTTTCGTTACTTCTGACAAACCATACCAACTGCCTTTCATAACTACGACAGTTACAGTAATCAACGATCATCAGGGTGATGATGGAATTATGTTTAAAAAAGAATCCAACAGCAGCATTCATTGATATTTGTTCAAATCTGCCAATTCTTGAGCGCAATTTTGTGCCATCTGCCAAAGCAACTTTGATGAAAATGATTGAATTACTTTTCCATCTCGTCACCATTGGTACCATACCAATTGTGTTAGAACATGGTTGACTGAAAAGGTTCAACGTGTCAAACCTGTCGTGAAACCGCACGAGGGACACAATTGTTAACCCTTCAAACACTTTAATGACAGTTGATCCACTTCCTCTGACTAAACAGCCGCAAGATGATGAAATAGCATCACTTGGCAATTCATTGTCGTCATCTTTAAATGGTAACAAAGACCAGAAGATACCCCTTGAACAGTTAATGGTTCTGGTAGCAGCTGGTTTTGCGTTTATCCAATTAGATGGTTGATTTTGTGGTCCTGTTCACAATTAGGCAATCGAAAAAGGATTCTAGGTTCAGACATGACAATTGGATCTAACATCTTTGATTTTGTCCATATGAAACTTGAGATATGAAGGATTCTAAATAGAAATAAAAAAATTGAATATTTTTTAAATTCAAAAGAATATAAACAATGATCAGTTTGAGCAAGCAGATTATCACTTCTGTGGACTTGGATTTGAATGAATGCAATGAAAATCAAGTCTGAGAAATGGTTGATATGGAAATTTTTATCATGACACGTATTCCAGAAACCATCAAGCAGGTATTTTGTGACAATACTATTTATTTTCTATTGGAAGTGAGCCAAAAACAATACAGTGCGTACCAACTTCATCTGCGTGTATCGACATCTGCCAAAGATAATTTTATCAAAAGCAAAACATATGTAAATATGCAGCCTTTAAAGACACTTAAAAACATTAAAAATTAAAGCAAAGACATTACGAGCTGATTGAAAGTGCAAAAAACTTGAAATGTGGAACGGCAACTCTAAAGATCGTCAATTGTATTCAAAAACATCACAGAGAAATATCATTCTTGAAGATATTTTAAACTTTAATTAACTTGATTGTAATCAAACCATCTGTAAATAGGGGTTTCAAGCTCATCAACTCGTCAAATTACAAAAATCAATCATCTTTAAAGATATTAAACATACTGAATTAATAAAATAAATAAACTCAAGTTTTGAAATGTAACATTACTGACTCCAAAAAACATCATTTTGAAATATAACAGATCATCTGATAGTAAACGCTACAGTCAGTACAGTATTTTATCAGCATTTTTAATCTCCGTAATTTTAATGCACTGTCTTGTTTCAAGCAAATGTCTTCCGATTTTTACCAAAACAAGTTGTACGCAATTTTCAACACTGTCAATTAGTTGTGTAACATCAAAAAGCATTTGAATTTCTTCTATTTTAATAGCTAATACATGAATATTAATAGCTTTTTAGTTTTTACTAGGCTTTGTGTACTTTTTTCAGTTGCATCGTTTCTGATTCCGAGTTTGAAGCATAATAGTTGCGACAGCGCTGTTGTCCAATTTGCTTGTTGTTGTGAATAGTAATCATGATACCACTTGTTTGACGCTTTCTGTTGTTGAACTGGATATGGATGTCAAATTTGAATGCCAAATTTCAATGCATTGCAAGTAATTGTTGTAGTTTTTGATCGAGTCAATGAATGGCATTTATAGTTGCTCTAGAAAACAAGTTGTTTGAAATGTCCTGTCATATGTCATATGTTTTGTTGTTTTCAGGTTCACTAATTGTTGATAATGCATACAATTGATTTCTGTTTTGACGCTGCTTATTTGTCATTGTTGGATCTGGGTTTCTAGATTCAGTAACAAACGTTTCAGCAATTTGGATGTGTTCAAATTCATAATACTTGCAAGTCTGAATTATTTGATCATCATCTGAAATTGGATACGAGTAATGATTTCCACTAACCACAGTATACACAGTATACACAGCATTACTGTATATTGACTTGTATTTTACTCAAAGGTTTGTCTGGTCAGTATTCCAACACAATTTCCAACATGGATTGAATGGTTTGCAGTGTTTGTTTTAATTGAACCACTTGATGGATCACTTTCATATCTTGATTCAGCAATATCACCAACTGCACAATGATGGATGCGATTGTAGTCAAACACAATATATTGCAAGACATTAACGTATTGGTTAGTTTTAGTATATTCTTGATAAAAGGCAATGATGTTTTGTAATGGTGTGTTAAATCCTTCAATCAAACATTGTCTGTTGTGATTTCCAACATTGACAGTGACATGACAAACACATTTTGCTTGTGACAGACTTTGAACGGGTGTATTGTTCCGTTTGTTGTACAATCCACGACATGGTCGGTTGGTGGTATCATACAGCCATACAACTGACAAGTGATTTCAAGTCCAACTGATAGTTACAAATAACACTGGTTGTTATCAGGTCATTGATGCATATGGAACAAACCATGTCAATGTATCAGTCAACAATCCATTAACTGTTGATGTAATACCCAACACAGTATACACAAACATGCAGTATGCAATCAACAATATGATTGTTGACCCATTCACAATACCCGACAAATATCAACACACCAGAAAGTTTAAATTTATTCAAAATCAAATCCATCGACACATCATCAATCTGAACTCAGTTTTTGAAATTCTAAACCACGCCTTTTCATAAACCTTTTCAAGTCTTGTCTGAAACTGGCTATTTTTTGGTTTGCCACTCTACACTCTTGTTTCAATTGATTTTCAGTGTCTGGATTGTACTCTGATCCAGATATCTCTTCTTCGTTTGCTAACTGTTGTTTGGATTTAAGAGCTAGACAATCACGATATTCTTGCCGTTTTTTCTTTCGTAATTCTTTACACTGTTCAAGCCTTTGCTTTATACGATTAAAGGTTCTCTGATATCTTTGGCGTAATCCAGTCACTTGACTTGGAGCAGTATTTCCCGACTTATCTTCGTCCATTGATTGTTGCTGTTCTTGTTCGAAAGTATTCGAACCAGGCTGATCAATTGGTTGTTTCGAGTATTTGTCGAAAGTGCCTGAACCAGATTCATCAATTGGGTCTTGACTGGGAATATTTGGGTTAATTATATCAAATGTTGGTTTCCAGTATTTGTTAGAAGTACCTGGACTGGATTGATCCATTGGTTGATGCTGATCTTGGTTGGATTTTTTTGAATTGATTGCATCAATCAAGTCTTTCCAGTCTTCCGGAATGCCTGGATCGGGTTTATCGATTATATCTTGCCAATCTTGTTCGGAAATGCTTGATCCCAAGTAGTATAGATAAGGCACCGGATGATACCAGTTTTCTTGACCGATAACTAACAGTGAATTTTGTCCAAAGTTGTCAAAATAAGAAAGTTATCGGAGATGAGCAATTCAGGTCAAAAACCTTGGGGTATTATAATGGGAGTTTATTAGTTTAAAATATCAGGAGATCTCTGTGCCAGACTCATACCAATACTTAAATGGATCATCTTATCTTTGATGAAGCTAACCTAGTGACCCCCTGCGTTTCTCGATGAATTCGAGCAAATAAGAGTGGTAATGGAGAATACCAATAGTTTTCATTGAATTACGAATTTAATTCCAATTAATTTTTTTATTGCTTATTGTATTAAACAGTAAGAATGAGATTAACGTCACACTTTGACTTGATGATGAAAACACGCAATGTCCAATATACTTTTCTACAGTAATCACACGATTAATCCAATGCTTCAACCCAACTCATTTTGTCTGTTTGACATGCTCCAAGAAATGTCGACGAAAAGGATATTGTGCGCAGTTTAGAACCACACGATCGTTCCACAATAAGCTCCTTGAGAAAACCATTAAACAACAAATGATAGCAATTACGAGGCTAATATAACACACTTGACCAACGATATCACACAAACTGACATAACGTATTAGCTTCCTGATCAAAGTGTTTGGCAGATATACAACTATTTCCATAAAACAAAATGAATCAAATATGTTGAAGCCAATCATTCCCATTGAAGTTATTGACTTGCTGTTTTATCCAAGAACTAATTCCAAAGAGAGCAGGATGGAATCGATCGATTCTTCCAACAACTACTGGATACAACAGTGGCATTGAAGATGAATAGTTTACATGATAATTTCTTTCACATCATCTGAATTAGAATCATCATCGCTCATAACAATTCTGTACAACTTTTCCTGTAATGATTGCTGTTTCTCGATGACTCTTGGCAGCATCTTTATGTTTGCAAAGATTCGATAACCTATCATTTCTAGATTAACCTTCGCATTGTCACAAGTTGGATAATGCTTTTTGAAAAAAGCAACTAACCCATAATGTAGTGAATAAATGGTATCGTTTGTTTCATAGCAACTATCGCTTATCATTTCTTTAATCCTTTTATAGTGATTTATGTTGATGCCGCATAATAGACTGGCATTTTTCTTTCAAAAACAATATTCTGCCTTTTAATAGTTTCGATGGATTAACCTCGATTGGATTTTCTAGTCTAAACATGGAATCTGGAACATCATCTAACACAACCGCTTCTTCATTTCCAACGTAATTATACGCTACTTTCAACAGCGAATTATTGACACGCTTTTCAACAACTTGATAGATATGATTATTTCTTGGATCGAGATAAATTGTGTCCATTAGTAAATTGTTGATGTACTTTGATCTCGGATTTGAGCAAGGTAAATTCAACATATTGTTTAAATCTAGTCTAGAAAATAAAAGATGCAATATTCAGTCACAGCCACTATCATAGATAGTTGATAAGTTTAATCCAAGATAAAATTGAATATTTAATTTCTTTTCAAATGATAAACAAGTTTATCAGAAATGTCAAACATATTGGAAGAAACCCAAATTCATTTGAATGAAAATGTTGTGTTGATTAAAGGAAATGACAGCACAGTTGGTCTGTACAAGGTTCTTTTTGAAGTAAATGGTATTGAGAGATATCGATTTGCTATTAAATACAAGACGAAAGAGAAAACTAGTACAAACAATTGATTAGTTCAATTACAAATCTGGATGTCGGACGGGCTAGAAAGGTTAAACTAAGATTCAAAAGCACACTCAAGGGATCTTCAGTGGAATGGACGATGCTAAAGCCTATCACCAACTTTTACAGCTACAAAACAAACAGAAAGAAAGCTGGACAAGAACAACGGTTGTTTTCACAATATCATATCAAGAAATATTCGTTCTGACCAAAATCAAAACCAATTCATTGGTCGAGACACTTGTTTACAAATTTAGATGAATTGAAGTTTACCATCAAAGAGAATCACAAAAAGCAAGCATTAAGATACTGGTTCAATATTCAATTCGGATATGTGCTGAGGAACATTGAAACTGATGATAGAGTTCAGTTTTATCCCTCTGATAATACCTGCTTTAATATCAATGATTCACCACTAGTTAATTCCACTATTGATACGGTACTAAACCAATTGGATGGTGATGATATACTGGAAAAATTGAAGTGTTCAAACTCCAAATGGAGTATTGAAAATATCTACGAGTGTGTACTTTTAACAACACCCATTCCAGAGGTATCAATAGGCGCATCTGTAATTCTACCTGATTTCATCAAGAATATCAAGAGCATTGTTTCATTCTAGTATGTCACAAATAACCTTTATTTTTGGTAGTTTTGCTCGTTATAAGTATCCAGAAATCAGATTAGACAGATTATCAAAGAAAGCAAAAGATCTTTACAAGGATTATTACAAAACCAACGTAAAGAAGTGTTATCCCAAACTTGATATTCAAGAATTGAAAGAGATTGAAAGCCATTTCTTTGTAAATGTCAACATATACCGATTCAATGGAAAGAAAGCGGTTATGGAACGACATTCAGGTAAAGAATACAGGAGGTTATTAATTTGAATATATACTCTGATATAAGCCATAAATTCCATCATTTCTCCTCCATTATTAACTTGTCTCAGTTAACCAGTGTTTCAATGTCCAGATGCCATTCATCCTTTAGTGAATTCAAAAAGATAAAACGACACTCAATTGTTTGTGCAAAACCAAAGATAATATTTGAAAATGGAAATTATCAACCAAAGTTGAATGTATTTGAGCATCTTGAATTGAATGGAATTAATATACCGAAAGAAATGAGATTTTATCCATATTTCATCTACTTTGATTTTGAAACTTGGTTGAAATCAGTCAATCTACGACCAACTTGAAGCTCATTCATTGAAACACACAAACTTTTGAGCACAAGTTTCATTGGAAGTGAAGAAAACAAGGCTCAATTCATCTCAGTTGAAAGTACAACTGAAGAAGCTTTGGATATAGTGATGACAAAATGGATCAAATACGACACAAATATCTGCAATTGTTGTATTCAAAGTATTCTCGGTTTTTTGGAATGATGGCCAATTTGGACGATGCAAAGGTTCAGAAACGATTAAGATTACAATTACTAGAATGTTTTGATGTTCTTCCTATTTATGGCTTCAGTAGCTCATCATATGACATTAACATCATCAAGAAATACCCTCCACAAGTCTTGAAACACTCTAAAAACATGGAAATGTATCCAAATGCGAAAAGCCTTGGATTAATTCAATTGAAGGAGAATTAGGTCGTAATATTGAACAATGCGAAAAGATTGAACGATACAATGTTGATGGCTACGATGAAGAATCAAGCACAATCTATGACTTTCTGGGATGCTTTTTCCACTGATGTAGAAAGTGTCACAAATCAGAAGATATCAATCCTTTAACTGGAGATACGATGAACATATTGTATGAAAAGACAGCAAATAAGGAATCAGCTCTCAAACAATGGGATATACCACAAGATCAATTTGGGGTTGTGAGTTTCATTCACCTGAAAACGGTCAAGTGAATGACATTATTAAATGTAACAAATACCGAATGATATCAAATGGATCGTTTGCTTTTAACGACATTCTTGCTTTTCAACCACCAAATACTTTATTTGACAAGTTCTTGAAAACGTTTGACACAATCACAAAAGGGAATATTTCCACATAAAGTAACTCGGAATTTATCGAAATACATTGATGAACACCCAGATTTGACACAATATTCTGATATCATTCAAGTTCTTAAAACACTCACATATTCCATCCAAAAAGTGGTTTTACAACAATCTAAAGGGAGAATCAGTTTCATCAAACGATTATAATGAAATGGTATTCACTCACACCAACCTGTATGATTTGCTGGACGACTACAACAATTTGGATGCGAAGCCAGGTGTAGAAGCGACAAAGAAACTGGGTAATTTCTTTCAGTCGTTGAATCTTGATATCCACAAAGACGGCATCTTTGTTCCTAGACTCACTCTGAAATATCTCTGGCACACAAAAAGCAAAGACTGCGAGTTTCAGTTATTCAAAGGGAATGACGAATTGTACCACAAATACAGAGATAATCTGGTTGGTGGTCCAAGTATCGTATTTCATCATTATCAAGAAAAAGACGACCAGAATTAGAAAAGGAAAGCCTTGTCAGGGAATACTTGGATATGATACCAATGCTTTATATCTGTGGGCGATAAGTCAAGATATGCCGTGTGGTGAGCACCAAGTAGTTCAAGTCTATCCCGATATTCTGAAAGATGTCTTGGATAACACGTTCTTTGGAATGATAGAATGTGATATTGCTGTTCCTGAGCATTTAAAGGAATACTTTGCTGAAATGCCTCCCATATTCAAGAATGTTGAGATTACATGCAATGATTTAAGCTTTGACACAGGCACATGCCAAACCAGATTACAAAAGTAACAGATTAGTTGAAAGTATGTTTGGTGAGACGATGATGTTTGCTACTAAACTGCTGAAATGGTATCTTGAGCATGGATTGGTTGTTTCAAATATTACTTTCGCTGTAAGATATGAACGTAAAGCACATTTCAAGTCGTTTTCTGAGCAAGTATCAAATGAGTGAAGAGTCCGAGATACAAGTCCTGGTTATAAATTACGTGGAGAAATGATGAAATTGATGGGAAATTCATCTTATGGTAAATGCATCACAGATTTCTTGAAGCACGAGACAGTCAAGATTGTTACTGGAGATAACTACATCAAAAACATCAGAAGGAATAATTACATTGAACATCAAGACCTTAACCAAGGATGCGAGTTTCGTTTCAAAAAGATGTCGTTCAAACAAAGTTTACCTATTCACATTAGATTTCAAGTGTATCAATTAGCGAAACTACGAATGCTTCAATTTTATCACGACTCTATTGATTATTCCATTGACAAAAGTGATTATCAGTACTGTATGATGGACACTGATTCTGCTTACATTGCTATATCTGATGAATCGTTAGAAGTCATAAAACCAAGCTTAAAAGATGAATTTAAAAAGAATCGGCATCTGTGGTTGGAAAGAGACGATACCATTGAAAATAAGGTGTATGACAGCAGAACACCGGGTCTGTTCAAGTTGGAATATGAAGGAAACTGTATTATATCATTGGCCAGTAAAATGTACTATTGTGATGAAAACAAATTCAGTTCAAAAGGGAATTAACAAGAAACAAAATGAAATCACAAAACAAAAGTATGTGGATGCTTTAAAAGGTAATTCTACTCAGGAATTTGTTAACAATGGATTCAGAGTCAAGAATAATCAGATGAACACGTATTCATTAACCAAGACAGGAATGAAATTGCTTAATGACAATGGATTCAGAATTGGGTTTCAAACATTTTCAACCAAATTATAAGAAATCATTATCTTGTATTTAGTTAATGGAACAGTTGTATGAATTATACTACAATCCAAAGACGGGACTCCTTTCAGCGCAAAAACTATATCTGAAACTCGACAAACAAGTGCTAATGAAAACAGTTTAGGATTTTCTTCAAAAACAACAAGTACATCAACTACATTAGAAACCAAAAAGCAAAACCTTGTTCAAGAGTATCAACGTGTATTCAGTCAATGACCAGTGGCAGATTGATTTGATTGACTTTTCCAAGTATTCAAGATGGAATGCTGGATTCAAATACCTCTTTTGTGGAGTTGATGTATTCAGTAGAAAAGCATTTGTTGTTGCTATTAAGAGCAAATCTCAAACTACAGAGGCAATGCGGTTTGTATTTGCTGCCAGGAAGCCTATTCTTGTTCAAAGCGATAATGGGACCGAATTTTTAAACAATAGCTTCCAACAACTGTTAAAAGAGTATGTTGTTCGCCAAATTACAGTCAATGTCGGTGATCATAACAGACAAGGCTTAATTGAGAGGTTCGACCGAACATTGGAAAGTTTCATTAGCAAATACCAAGAGTCCAGAAGTACTAACAAGTACATTGATGTCTTGGAAGATATCGTATACAATTACAATCATACGCATCATCGTAGCATTAATGATACTCCTGAATCAAGATACCAAGCAAATCCAAAAACTGGTACAATTAAATCCAAGGCATTAAATACTCAAATCAAAATTGGGGACAAAGTGAGAATCTTGATAGAAAAAGGAACATTCACCAAAGGGTATGAACCAAGTTACAGTCAGTCCATATACAATGTAGTGAATGGAAATGGATATTCATATTCACTTGTTGATAACAATGGTCAAGAACTAAAAAAGACTTTTAAATACTACCAACTCAAAAAGATTGAATCATCTGACACATACAAATGAACAAGTTGAAAGAGAACGACCAATGTCAAACAAGGAAAGACGTAATAAACGGGAATTGGAAGAACTGGAAAGAATTCCAGAACCTAAAAACAAAAGACGCAAGATATTTCAAGGAACTTATTTTCTAGAGTAATAGTAAATGACATTTATCGATTCAATCAAGAACTACAAAGACTATCTACAATGCGCCAAGAATTGGGATTTATATTCGGAACAACAACAAGAACAATTGAAAAAATGGTATAGAAATTACTATACTCAAAACAAGGAGTCCAAACGACTGAGATATCGCAATAACTACGCTAATAATTCAGATATCGAAAGAGGACGATTACAAAAGTACAAAAAAGCCTAATCACACTGTGAATTGCTTTCATTCAACCTCAAACAAATAGTTGATTTAAATTGAATTTTAAATGAAAATTAACTTGATAGCAAATGAAAGACTTCAAGACAGTTGAAACTTGAGTGTTTTTTACAGAATAAAAGTTTTAGGATTGTTCAAAACAAGGAATGTTGATTGTTATATTTATCTTGATAAACCAACTTATACAAAAGTATTTCTATTTCAGATTAATTTAAAACAAGATTTAACTGGTATTTCTGTTGATTACACGAGTCACTCTAAACAATTAGCAGTATATTGGATAACACAAGTCATTAGAAACGGTGTAATAACACCAATTGTTCCAATGGTTACAAACAATATCAGAAATTGGTTGAATTCAAAAAAGTTAAACAAGTCGATCAAGATTTGTATAATTGATTGACAATAGTAAGAATATTGTAAGATTAAAAGATTTGGTTGTATATATTGTAAATAGGAGCTTCGACTCCAAAACTTGCTTTATTTTTAAATGTTCAAATTGGCAAGACTCGTAAAAATAACCATTTCACCTTTTACTTGAGCTTCAACTTTGTCATCTTCACAAAGGAATGAAGGCTGAAAGGGAATTTGCTTGTTTCAGTTTCATTTTGACTTTCCCGATATGGTGATAAACTTCCTTTTCAGAATGAAAACGTAAATCTGAAGTAGGTAAACTTTTTGTTTCATCGCTGTCTATCCATCTTCTACAGCGAGTACATTCACTGCGAATAGTTGTCCAAGGCAAAGTAGAATAAACAAACACAGGATAGTCATTCAGAAACCAACGATATCCAATGTATAAATGACACATCGTATAGTTCCATTTAAATGCTTTTAGAGTATAGTCATTGAATTCTTTTTGATTTGGAAAGCATCCTTTCAAGGCAACCAGGTCTTGTCCAATGAATTGTCTAGTTTGCAAATATTTTGGTAATGGACCATGAGGCGATTCTTGCCAGGTAATTCAGACTTGTAAATAGTAATTCGTCTGGTTCATACCTTGATTCTAGTATTGTCATCCATATGAGAACTGACTGGTGTTTCCGAATTGATGGCAGATAATGTATACTCCAATAGAAACCAATAAATCGATTGTATCTGCATGTGGATGTGCTTCATACGTTCCATTTCTGTATGAAAATCTAATTCTGGATGGTGTGTATGACTGATTACTCTTGCAAATACATTGAGTGAATTCTTGTTGATCAAATTGAGCTCTTCTTCCAAATCTGAATCATTTAGAGTAGCAACTCTTCTAATCCAGGTGATAAGCTGTTCAGACATTTATAGTAAACAATGGAAATTACAATTGTAATATTAGATTACAATTGTAATAATGTAAGAGCCTCAAAATTACAATTGTAAGAGATGATGGCCTCCTTTTTTCTTCTAATGGCAGAAATTACAAGACTCGCATATCATCAGAACATATCCAACAAATTATGCCCGTTTTCCAATCAGCAATTTTAGATTCATTAACAATACCTTGAATATTTCCAAATGTGTAAACTCACTTGTACATCTACTTTTTTCGCCAAATTTTGGATTTGTACTATTTCTTACCACATAACTAAAAGTCAAAATACAGATGGTACAGAGTATTATATGGAAATTGACTGTGTTAAAGACATTCTATACAGTTCAACAACTGATTCCTCTCATCTTGCTGTGCATCCTCGCAAGAATTTAGAGTCGCAAATCCAAAGTCTATCAAGTAGACCATTCCATTTTCATCAACCAAGATATTTTCCTTTTTGATATCGTTGTGAATAATTCCAAGTTTGTGTATAGCATCAATATTTGACAAAACAGACTGCTTTTGTGATTCAGAAAGCGCTTCGGGAACAGTACCGCACAGCGAAAATCCTATACAATACATGCCGCCTTCCCAGTAGCCATGCAATACAAGTTTGGGAATAAATCTTCCTTGGAGGTCCGAGAGTAAGCAATAAATTTCAATTTCGTTGTGTAATTCAGCAAGCATGTTGGATTGTTTCCAAAGGTCTATGCTTTTAAGAGCGAGTTGATGCTTTGCTTCATAATAAACCTTTGTTCTTCCACTTCCCAAAACTGATTTGATATTAAAATCTTCCAAAGCAAAAGCAGATTCGTAAGATGAATCAGCGTCTTTTTGAATAGGAACAGAGCCATCTTCGTTGCCAGACGCAAAGTTTGTTGTTTCTACCATTTTTCTCAGAGTTGAAGGTGAATTTCTCGTACTTGATGGTCTGCTATTTCTCGGAGATTGTCGTAGTGGTGAAGGAGGAGGCGATGTACATAGGGTTCCATCTGCTAAAGACAAAAAGTAAGCGATACTTTGAAGCACCGTAGGGTTTGTAGCAGTGCGGGCAATTCCAGTTGAAATAAACAACTGTTCAAACCCATCTGAAGAATCTTCAACTTTGACTCTTTTGAAGAAGAATGTATATTCCGAAGAGGTCAAAATTCCGTACTGCAGACGATTCAGAACCATATAAGTGTAAAGCTGGACAATTGCATCCCGTATGTAATGATTGATGTTGAGTTGGTCAATACGGCCATTTTCAAACCATTCTGGATTCAAACTCCATTTGCCTTTGTATTCGTTAATGATGATCGTTTTTCCGTTTCTTTCAAAATGGCTGTCCGTACTGCCAACATAATTTCCGAATTCAGTAGTAACGACTGTAGCACCAAAGTGAATGGCAACAGGACGCAAATAGTTTTGCGAAATAAACATTTGAAGAGCTGGAACTTCTGTTCGAATTTCAGTGTCAAGCATTTCAAACACGGGAGGTAAAACTGTTTCTGTAACAGGTTCAATTTCCGTGCAAACAAAATCCATCACTTCTTGTCCAAATGTTTCCCAATGCAGAGTCCATTGTGGATGTCGGACACCTGGTGGTTTTGTGGAAGTGGGACCTGGCAAAGTATTGGAATACGTGGGAAGTGGAGGGATTGTTTGCAAATATTCCTGTAGGGTGATTCTTTGCTCAGCTATCACACCGGCCGAAATTCTTGCGCTTTGTGCTGCAAGAGTATTGTTGTAGTTTCTTTGGGCTCCTGCCAATACTGCTCTACAAGCAGTGACTTCAGCAGAGAGAGCCATGTAACCGGCACTGGTAAAGTCTTGAGGGTTGGCAGTTTTCCAGTGTCTGAGGTCTTCTTCAGCTATTCGGAGACTTTCAGCTGCTTCGTTGGCTCTTCTGTCGGCATTTTCAATTGGAGTTGACATTTTAAAAGTAAAGAATTTCAGTGTGGATTTTATTTTTATACGCCTCCATCACGTGGCAACCATACATGTTAAAACCTCGCTCTGATATTTCAATTGCGACCATTGAGTATGAATATGGCACAGAGAGCTCCTCATCATCCAAACTTACAAGCAATTCTTTTAAATTGTTTGCCATCTCAGATAAATGGTTGTTTAAATAATTTATCAGAGTCACTTTTTAAATCAAACTGGTATCATTCAATTGTATATTTCGGTAAGAATCTTGCACAGAATACAACCTACAATTTCAGGCAATCAGATTCTGTATAGATTCTAAAAGCTAAAATCATTTTGGACAGAAATGTCATACAAAATATCTCATCAACCTTTGACTGAATTTAGCAGATACTCTCGCCTAAAAAAAGTGGTATCATCGGGTGCCCTACCTATACTACTGCCAAGAACTAAAAAAGACATATAAATACTACCAACTCAAAAAGATTGAAGCATCTGACACATACAAATGAACAAGTTGAAAGAGAACGACCAATGTCAAACAGGGAAAGACGTAATAAACGGGAATTGGCAAGAATTGGAAAGAGTTCCAGAACCTAAAAACAAAAGACGCAAGATATTTCAAGAAGCCTATTTCTAGAGTAATAGTAAATGACATTTATCGATTCAATCAAGAATTACAAAGACTATTTACAATGCGTCAAGAATTGGGATTTGTATTCGGAACAACAACAAGAACAATTGAAAAAATGGTATAGAAATTACTATACTCAAAACAAGGAGTCCGAACGACTGAGATATCGCAATAACTACACTAATAATTCAGATATCGAAAGAGGACGATTACAAAAGTACAAAAAGTCAAAGATGGGCTAAAAAATATCATAGCTAACGCTTGAAATAGAGCATTTTCAAAATTCAAATATTGTAATAAATTTCATGTTCATTCCTGTTTACTTTTATTATATGATTGAATTGAATTCACTTTTTTTGTGATCTTTTTTTTTCTTTCTTAAATTCAAATGTTTTCTCGTGCGATTGGAAGATGCTGCTACTCTACACATAAAGCAGCATCAAAACTATGGGTAAAGCACAATGGAGGCCCATCGGCTCAAGTCTCCACCAAAAGCTGTATCAATATCGATGACTTTGCCGACAAGGTCAAGCAAAAACTCAATACCAACAACCAAGTTGCTTTATATACTTCTATCAACAAAGAAGCACTTGACCCTGGGCTTTCACTCAAAGAACTCCTTAAACTGACATCAGCAACAACACCAGCAAAATCCCCTTGCTTGTCAAAATCATTCCTGCTACTCAAGACTCATTTGCAACAAAAACCATATATATTCGTGATACCGATGATGATGGAAAGCTTACGGATGAATATGTTGAATACAGTATCAAGAACAACGAGAACTTGCGTGATATCTATAAAAATGGCAAAGGACTCATCCACATGGCTGACCCAAAGAAAGTTATAGTTAATTTTGATGATATCGAGCACGGTAAAAAGTATCAAGTTTACAAATATTCGCAAGATTTCTCAGGATGACAAAAAAAGAAGCGGATGCGATGGAAGCAAAGACGCTACTATCCATGAAGACCTATCTTGTAGAGAAACTCCAAGCATCCCCTATCGATTTGCCTACTGACATATATGATTCAACGGGAAAGCAAATTCAAGAATGGGATGTAATCCTATTGTCAAGATATTCTTTATCTCTTGGAAGCAAAACATGCCATGACAGTCGAAAAAGTCGAGAAAATCGCTGAAAGGGTGAATCAATTTCCTAAAATAATTAAACTTTTGTCTCAAAAAATACTTAATGCAAAGTATAGTAAGATTGTTGGAGTTGCTTGTGGAACCCGATTCCCCGATGGCTGTCGCGAAGAAGCTCATCGATTAGGATTAATGGTTGTTTATCCGTCGGGAAGTCGTTACAGAGTTGATGGCAAGGTTGAATTTGATTACACTATTAGAAGATGAAATTCTTGAATATATTATGTACGTTGCTAAAATTATTTATATTAAAGTTTTCAAGCAACGCTGTCATTGTCTTTATATTATGCCAAATAGGATAATTTGGACCACCTTATTATCCTACGACGTGGTTAGACAACGGACAGACAGTTAATGGGATGTTAACCATTGCTGGATACAATCTTCATGGTAAAAGTGCGTACATGCCAGAGAAGATATCCTTGAAGTAGAATTGTAGCCTTCTTGATAGATTGTACACATTGATTCCCTATGGGCTTGAGGGTTGTAATTGAACCACATGGTGTTATCTCTAAATAGTTCCAAGGTAATGGGACGATTACTGGGGCTTTCAGTCTCTTCTTCCAATAAACCATCTTCCTCTATCAGTTCTTCATCTGTCGAATCTGGTTCTTCCGCATCAATTTCACTTGGAGCTGGGTCGTCTTCATGATCGTTAATAGCTTTGACAATCAAAATTGTGATATTCTGTAGGTTTAGATCTCCAGAATCCTCTTGACAAAATATGAGTTCCTGGTAGCGCTTGGCACTCTGCTGATTGAACCATTTGCGAATTTGAGGTATGATATCACGCATTCTTCGAAATGAAATAGTACAATGTTTGAAGCGAGGCATCTCTGTTAGAAATTCATAGTAGTTCCGATATTTTCTAAAAGTCCTATGTGTGTCAGTAAAGTCAAGGATGTGGATGTGGAAATAATAAAGACCCCATGGTGTCTTTTGGCGGCGTAAATAATATTCATACCTTAAATCCATTGATAATCCTTCGTTTAGAATGTTTTCGAGTCTTGGAATGTCATTTTGTAATCGGTCGTGAAGTATAGCGAGTTTTTGCCCAATGTTGAAGTGATGAAAGACAGCCTTTCACATTCCAGCGCCAAAATCAAACTAAATTGCTGAAGATAATTAAAATATGAATATTGTTGATTCCAGTAGAGTTGTACCTATGTTTGATATCAATGTAAAATTTGGTAATGAGCTCATCATTTTCAACTTCCTGGTGATTAGATCATTCTATCATTTGTGCTGTTTCGTATATTGGTTGCCTTTGATATGATGTTGTTCCATGGGTTTCAGCGTATCTTTGCCATCGTTTAATAGGAGCATACGCTGTTAGCAATTCTTTGATCTTTTGATGCTCAGCATATAAAACTACCGGAGTAGTTGGAGCAACTCTACCAGCAACTCTCTCGGCCTTATTCTTGGTCGATACTCTTTGTCCTCCTCACTTTCTGAATCATTGAAAGCTTTTCTTCTGCTCCTTGTTGTTCTGTTTGGAGGAGTCAATAAGACTGATACAGTATCCATCCGAGTAGGCGATTCATTACGAGCAGTACTGGCTGGAGATAACTGATCGTTTTGATGTTCAGAGGCTGGCAAGGATAAAACAAAGGGAAACGAAGCAGTCTTTGGTTGCGAATTGATAACTGGTATTGATGTTAATTGCTTTTTGGCGGTTTTGGAAAGTTTTTTGAAATGAGCAGAAAGCTCTTGGTTGTTCATTACTGCTATCTTTCTGGCCCAATTGAGAACCTGATATTCCTCTTCACATATTGTGTCGTCCATTTAGATGTGTAATGTTTGTTAAGGTGAACCTCTACCCCATACGGTAGTTCGCTTTACGCAAACGAACAGACACAAAATGAAATTGAATTCTCTTCATCATCACCCACTCCTACTAGTAGAGTGGTATTAAAGGCCATTACATCAAAGGTAAAAAACCTGGAATTGTTGGTTTGACGAAGCGAGATCTTTCTAGTAGTAGTGGTGATTCTATTGATAATTTTCCTGTAATTTTAAATGTAAAGTTTTGTGATTTACCAGTTGGTATGTTAAACAAACTAATCATCTGTTTAATGGCATGGAAAAAGAGTCGTTGTTCAAGAGAGATTTCAACTCTTTCCATTTTTCTTTTGAATGAAGATAATCGAGAATTCATCTCAAAGTTTTGACTCTTACGACTCTAGTGAATATTCCTGCTTGCGAATCAAGTCAATTAAAACTGTTTGTTCTTACCTACCTGGAAATCCTACCATTGAATTCATGAGAGGTACTGTTGGATTCTTCACTGGATTCAATCATCACCATCAAAAAATGTTCGCGCACTTTAGTCATGTTCTCATGGCTGATGATGCTACTCGTTGGTTATCAGAACGATCTACCAATGGCGTTGTGTTGGGCAAAATGGATGGTTGGATTGAATCCCACGAGCAAGAAGTCGATCATTGGGATGGGCTAGAAATATCATTTTCTAAAATACTTGAATTCACAAGATATGAAAGCAGCATGGATTATAACTTTGTAGGCAAGAATTGTAAACATTTTTGCTACGATTTTCGCCGAAATGTGCTTGGGAAAGTTGAAGACTTTGGAACTTACTGCCAGTTTATCGAAAGTAAAATGAATTCATAAACTCTAAATCAATTCAAGCATCAATTATGAGCCTGCACATTATGCTCCTAAAACCTTCAAATTTACTAGCTTTCCATCAGTTCCCTTAATGACCAAGTACCCGTTGAAAAAACTGGTATCATCGTATTCTGCTTAAAAGGTACAGTACGAATCTGGCACAGAAGCTCCTAACATTTCAAACCAATAAACCAACCAGTACTCTGCTCTAATGTTTTTGACAGTGTTCCTTATCTCCGATAACTTGCGATTTTTGACAACCAGACCAAATTAATTGGTATTTATCGGTCAAGAAAACTGGTATCATCCGGTGCCCAATCTATACTACTCAAGTTGGTTTTAAACCATTTTCAACTAAATTGTAAAAGCTTATTTTCTTATGGTGGATTATGAAAAAACTACAACTTGTACTATAATCCAAAAACTGGGTTACATCTGCATGGAAATTATGTTGGAATATCCATGCAGGGTACTCCCAAGTGGTAATATGGTATAGTGATGATCCTAGTAGCTTCCACTTTACGCCTCCTAATTAACCCTCCTTTATTATCAAACAATCCACATGGTCATGCCACAAGACACAAACAATCAATTACTATAAAAGAGCCCATAACTATCTCATTAATAAACAACTCTTCAAACTATTTCAATCTTGTAATTACTTTATTGCATCTTTTCACTATTCCTGAAAAGATAAAATCTGTTAATCTTGAACTATTGTGCAGCTTCACATTACACTTTTGGTTTGGTTTCTTCTGATAACTACAAACAGTTACAGATTATATCTACACTACAAACCCGAAGCTCACAAAAATCTGGCAATACCATGGTCGTAATACCACACTACATATATTACATTGCAAACTGACACAACACTAATTGACCAATATCGAACCAGTTAATGACGCAATCTACATCCGACTTTCAACAAGTGTATTGCTCCGTTTGTTGTACAATACACGACATGGTCGGTTGGTGGTATCATACAGCCATGCAACTGACAAGTGATTGCAAGTATGACTGGTGGTTACACGTACAAATAACACTGGTTGTTATCAGGTCATTGATGTATATGAAACACGCCATGCCAATGTATCAATCAACAATCCAATAACTGTTGATGTAATACCCAACACAGTATACACAAACATACAGTATTCAATCAGTGATATGGTTGTTGACCCATTCATAATACTCGACAAATATCAACACCAGAAAGTTTAAATTTATTCATTAACAAATTCATCGACACATCATCAATCTGAATCTGAATCTGAATCCGACTCTTCTGAACTCGACTCTTCTGAATCTGAATCCGGCTCTTCATATTTCAAACCATAGCCTTCCATAAACATTTTCAATCGTTGTTTGATACTTTCTAGTGCTTTTCCTGCTTCTTCACAATCTTTTCTCAATTTTTGTTGAGTTTCTGGGCTGTAACTTGGCTCAGATATACCTTTGCCTTTTCTTAAACCTGCCCATTGGCTTAATCGATGAAACACACTATCATAATAGGCTCGGCACATGCTCTTTTCCACTTCTTTAAACTCTTCATATTCTTGCTTTAGAGTATCCAAGGTTTTCTGGTCTTCTTCGCTTAATACAGCCTCTTGACTTGGAGCAGTATTTCCCGACTCTTCTTCGTTCATTGGCTGTTGCTGGTCTTGATTGGAAGTGCTTGGACCGGGTTGATTCGTTGATTGTTCCCGACTTCGTTTTGGAGCACTTGGACCAGGCTCACTGATTGGGCGTTTTCGACTTCGTTTTGGAACACTTGGACCAGTTCGATACAACAAGTATTGCTGGCCTTGTCCGGAAGTGCCTGGATTAGGCTTATTGGTTGGACCAGGCACTTGACTGGAAGTGCTTGATGCCTGAGCTGAGTCATTGCTATTATCTGAAACCAGTATTGCATTAGCGGTTGCTGCCGCGCTCAGTACGAACAAAATGTCAATGAACTTCATTAGATTGGTGGATGGGCTTAAAAGATGGTTAGATGGGCAGATTGTTAATTATAAAATTGAATGTACTCGTTTGTATTTGTATGTTTTGTATAGCAAACCAACCCTTTTAGGTTAACCAATTGTACAGAGTTACTTGATTGTTTGTAGCGGTTTACTATCAAACTAGACAATATGATGCTCCCTAATCATAATATCATATTGATCAATATGATGATCATGTCGATTGAACTATGCTTTTATGACCCTTTTATCAGGTATATTGAAAAGCACCCTTCATGAGTGTTGTGCAGCCACAAACGCTTTGTTTTACAACCGTATTCATGTCAAATGGTTCACTCCAGTATTCATCCAACAATGACTGTATTCTGAATTGCAATATACAATGGTTACTACACATTGACTGTATTGAGTGTTTGATATACAACAACCATCATATGACACACAATCAAACTATAGTGTTGAATCTACACTTTGTGCACTCTTAGTAATCATACATTGTACGATCACCAAGTTTGAACCCACATTTATGTATTGTGTTTGACTATCGATGTTGTCAATACAACTCTGTACATTTGTTGTATTCTGAATCACGGATACGATCGCAATCTAGTTCAACAACAATGATGACATCAGTAATGCAACTGTTGTTTGCATGCCGACACTGTTATTTAGTGGTCCATTTACATCAATACGGCAGAAAGTTGTCGTTATATCACGTATTCTGGACACGGTTTTGATATTACGCATCCAGTTCCATCACATTGCTGCTGACCCATCATTGTAACGCTGCATGTATCAAACACTGGCATGTCACCATAACCACAATCAGTAAAGTGACATTCGAGTTGTTTACTGTGATCAATATATACAACCCAGTGCGACTACACATACTGGATCCAGTCTGTTGATTGTTCCAGTTGATCTTGATTCACTTTTGACGTTTTGTCCGAGATTGACAATACAAATGTGTCAAGCTGAACCCAAACTACACGACTTGACTGTTTGTGTCCATTGGGTCGTGACTGAGCTATGCGATCATGATGTGTATTCAATCAATACCATGCATTACCAATGCAATAGTATGTGTGATCATCGTGTATCAAACAACTACGATACACACTGGACTGATCCAATACATGCACGGCTTGAACATATCACACAATCAAACATGAACACACCACATTAAAAATACATATAGTATCAGTTTGTCTATAATGAATTGTATTCATTCGAGTTTATTGAGAGTCTGTTTGCGACTGTTGACAGTGTGGTGGGTGTTTTCAGGCACAGCTACTTGATTAGTTGTAGTTGTTGGTTTCCTTCTGCGAATAAATGTGCCATCTGAACCTGAAGTACTTGGTTGTTTAGGCAATCTAACAGTACCCATCAAATTCATGATCAGTATCAATCTACACACCCACACATCAATATCAAACAACTTACTGTGATGATGGCCATAGTACTTGATAATGGTCCGAAATAGTAGGATATCCATCAGTCGAGACTTCGCATCCACATCCAGGACCAAATCCAATGCGTTTATGTGCTCGATCAAATGTCAATCCAAGTCGGGTCATAAATGATGCACCAAGAACTGCATAATCATTTGGACCAACTCCTACAGCAAACACAACTATAATCCAACATGTATATTAGTCAGGTTAATCAAACACACATTGCATACAATTGTCAAGTATTTACAATCTTCAGAATTAATTTTCTGTATATAGTCTCTAGGACCCAGTGTGATCGTTACAACAGAGTTGCGATTGTCATCAGTTACGGGTGTTTCAGCAAACATTACAATTGTAAACGACGGCAGCTTGCTCCAATCAATATTATAATCGGATTGGGACATTAGACTGTTTTCCAAAAATACGTCATCAATTTCTTCTGGGTAGAGTTTGCGCTTGAGTTTAATCCTTTTGATAGTAATTGCACCACTACCAACAATAGCATCAACCAACGCTGTCACAACTGTTTTAGGAAAATGCATATATGTAAGGCATGTATGTAGATATGAATACAAAGCATGTCCATTTTCCACTTTTTTTTGGAATTCAGCAGGCAGATCCACTCGTTTGCCATTGACTAGTATACTCTTGATGTTGACACTAAAGTAACCGTCTGATTGTGATTGTACCCATGCGACACTTTTTCCATTCGTTCCGCATTTTGCAGTTATGTCTGTGTTTCCTATATTGATGAAGCTTTCCTGCAGCATATCATACGGACATAGTTGAATGCCAATCTCGTTATTAGGAATGACACCATCATTGTACAAAGCATCTATCGCAGGGACTGATGTGTGATGTTTTGACAACAAGGAATAGCCAAACCCAAATACTCCTTGCTCGAGTGTTCCATCAATACCAACCAGACTTGCCGATTGTTTTTCAATTTCTATTACTGGTAAATTGACACCAGTTATCCTAGTACCTGGAATCGTCACAGTGGCTGTGGAACTAAATCCATTATACTCTTTGAGTTTGTACTTTATAGTAACGGGGTTTCCACTTGAAATACTTTGTGGAGCCAAACCTACAGCGTTGATTGAACTAGGAAGTGGTATTATTACATCAGAGACATCTGAATCGACTCGTAAATTTAACTATTTTAAACAAGTGTGAGATTGATTAAACGTGATGCAAATTGATATCAAACTACAATAAATGACATGACATGATACATACATTTATTCCATTAACATTAAATTTCATTGTGAAACATTGGCCAATGTCACCACTCAATTCAACGGGTGATCGTTTTGACAGCCTATTGTTTGATTGACTGGTAATTCCAGAAGGTGGATGTAATGCAAGTCGAACTGCAGCAACCGCTTGTAAGGCAATTAGAATGCATTCTAGAGTAATCAACATTGTATCGAGTAGTGTAATGGAAAGCTTTGGGTCTACTAGATGACTGCCATTTATAACGACGGCAGCTTCAAGGGTGACAGTCAACATCTTTCAAATGGATATTTAGAAAACACAAGTACACCATGCAGGGTGAACAAACCCAGAAACACCCTGTAGGGCGAATCAATAACAAGCATCACTGTTAATATGAAAAATCAACTTCAGTAGTATACTGTGTTCATCTCCAATTGCGGTCATGCATCCAGTGGTCAGGTAGTTTCAAACTATTACCATGATTATGGATAGTTACCATCACACATACAATCCATTACTACAACACATGCTGTCACTGTATACCAAATACTTGACTGATTGTTCGATTGGTCATGTATTTGATATACTCGGACACAACAGCATCCAACAGCCTGTTGCTGCAGTATTTCAAAACCATGACTTTTCCATTGGTATGACTGCACAGTCATTTTAGGTTAATCTAGACTGTATACATCAAACACTGCTGATTGTGTCACAACATGATCAACACCAAACTCGGCAATCTGTCGCCGCTACACTGAATGAGTGACGTTGTACTATATTGAATCAACAGCATTGGCTCTTTTACAGTTTTCAAGTGTCTCCCAGCACTTGAAGCTTGAACAATGATGCCACTATTTGTACTAGGACAGTGTTGGCAACTATAGAAGGATCAAGGATTTCCACCATCAATAAATATTCAGACCTATTTAATCATATGGTTTAGTTCACTATCCAATCTTTGAATGGGCATTCGTTTGGAAATAGTAAGAACTTGATTGTATCCATGATAATTGGGCTTTGTTGCAATGAAACAAACATTACTTTCTGGCAAAACATCAACGGCGCCAAAGCACCATGAACGCTATTAATGGTGAATAGACGCTGATATAGGACATGCCACATTGTAAATCATGCTTTGTGAATGATAGTTTTTGCGATTAGTTGAAAAGTAGGATAGATGACAGAAATATCAGTATATTGCAATCTGGTTGATTTTCGGATAAAACAATATTTTCCGTATACTAGCCATGCCAAATCAGAAACAGTGTGAATGCTATGTGTATTGAAGTTGTGATATATTAAAAAGAATAGTGCATGCAATATTGCCACATTGTAATAATCATACATGGCGATTCGTTCTTCCACTCCGGTTGTCTTGTAACTATCCAAGATTTCGCCTATTCAATAGACGCTTTTTATTATCGGTTATGATATAATCATTTGTTGACTTTTTAAATCTAATTTTAGAAAATAAAACTGAACAAAGTTTGAGTTTGTTATGAAGCAAGTTGCAAGCTTCACGCAAAGTTTAAAAACCGCCACAGTTGGCCAAATGTCATTGCAGTTAGTCAGTAAGCGAGTAGTGCCACAATTTACACAAGATAGTGGCACTATTATCATATTTACAAGCTAGTGCAATATCCATCTTTCCATATATTCTGTTATCTGAACTTTTAGATTCATCCAACATGCATTTCAAACCAGCGGCATGGCACATTTTTTTATTGAGCACCTTGGCATTACTACTACCACTGGCAAATGCAGAGCCTCGTACAGTTCTACCTGCCAACTTTTATTTAGGTGATTGCATATCCCAGCGTATTGTCTTTGACAAGCAACGCTTACTTGAGCTTAACGGGGCCGACTCAAAAAGGTTCAAGGCAGACAGAACAAAGTATGATCTTACAATGGATTATGGCTCAATTGATTTTGTGGGAACTACTGCCCATTTCAACTTGGTAAAGGCTGATCGGTTTGAAACGGACATTTCTATGGGTGCTCGAATATCTACCACTCGATACATGCTACATGGAAAAATTACCGCAAGGATGAAACCAGCAGTTGATCCTGGCGTGGTGTCCACTCTTATTACTTGGTCGGATTTTCAAAATGAGATTCCAAATAGCAAAGAATCAACGCAGGATGAAATTGATTGGGAAGTGGTTGGAAAACATCCAGAACATCCGGAATACAATGTATTCACAGGTAAATCCAGCAATATGGAGCGTGGTGCACATGGTGGAGCAGTATCTGGGACTATTACCGTAAACGAGTTTCACGACTTTACCATTGACTGGAGATCCGATCGAATCGAGTGGGGTGTAGACGGGAATGTAATGAAAACGTTGATTAAAACACAGTCATTTGCTGCACTTCCTGGAAGCTTAAAGCCTGGCGAATTCTGGTATCCAGAAACTCCCTCTCGAGTTCAAGTCTCTGTGTGGGATGGAAGCATGGGAGACCAAAGAAGATGGGCGGGAGGACCAATCCCTTGGGGAAATCGGCAAAAGATCACTGTTCCATACGAGTGGATTGAAATTCAATGTTATGACGATAAGGATCGACCTGTGACTCGATGGGCAGCTGATGGATCTGGCCCAACAGCCGAAAACTCCACCACTCAAAGTCGATTTTCACGATTCGCAAGCAAAGCCAATAGTCAAACCGCCGCATTGACAAAATCCAATTTCTATTCCATATGTTGGATCATGTCGCTCGCTATTATCATCCCAGCTTTGTCTATATTCCATCTTTAAAATAGTGCCAAGCATTTCACCAGTAAAATTAGAATCAAACTTTCAAGTTCACATCTTTATTGACCAATTACTGGATAAGGGGACTGTAAAATATCATTTGGGCCAAAATATAGCAGTATCAATGCATCGGAAATTAAACATACTATCAATGCAATCAATAGTTTAAATTGCCAAGCATTTGAAAATTATCCCACTGAGAATATTAGAGAATAGTTCCAAAGCCAAAAGTAGCCTTGATTGGGTTCCAGTAGTAATTTGTCCAGTTAGTTTCAGTAGTTTCTTTTTCGCCAACAGGAACTCCTTTTTGGACAAGATTTAGTATGGTTTCATCAGCTCCTTCCTCCAAGTTCATTACGACAGTAGAGTAGTGATCTAGCATACAGTTTAAATATAATTAGCTAGAAATATTAGCCATCTATTAGTCTAACATAATGCAGCATTGTTCCAAGGTATTCGTACGTTTAGGCCAAGATTGCACACGCCATTTCATCTCAATAGTTTTGTTTTCAATCTAAAGACCAAATCATAATTGAGATTAGCAAAACTAAAGATAAATAGATCATAATAAGGGCTTATTAGAAAAGTCAGAATTAGGTAAACTTACAAGACGGGTAATTGAGCCAGATACATTGCCATTGAAAAGGCTAAATTCGCCCCCAGTAACACGACAGATCTCTGCATTGCCACGAGTCCAGATACATGCACGTTGCTGGTCCAAAAGAGTGTGATAGATATCATGCGGAGAGGCGATAAACTCGATACGTTGTTTGATTTCAACTACACCACCAACACGACTAGTATTAGCGGCCGAAACAGGTTGAGAAGTGGTAACAGGAGGTTTGGGGTTATATGTGGAAAGCACTGGATGTCCTTTCATGTTTTCTGGAGGAATATACACGTCCTTGGAGTGAGCTAGACAGTATTAGCGTCGGTTCAGCAGCATAGTTGGCCAATGTCAGGGTTAAACAAAAATTGACAGTTAATAATCAGCTTCTAAAAAAATCTCAATCCGTAAAAACTAGCAATGAAAATGTACATTCAATCAAGTCCTTGGCGAATGAACCCAATGCTTCGCGAATTACTACACAAAGTTTTTTTCGAGCAACTTCTTTGATCGCATGTGTTTTGTCGTTGTCATTCTCCACGGTAAAGTTGAACTGATCAATGAATAGTACAGTTGAAATGTTAGATTTAATAAGAAATTACAAAGGTAGTATAGGTATTACAATTGAAAGTAGCAAAATGGTGAGCAGTACACCCAAGAAATTGAAAATTGACCAACTTACGACAAGATCATTCAAGTCAGTGTCATGCATCAATTCGGGAATCACAACTTTTCCCTCTGCCGGCTCACCGGAAGCATCAGTGCCTTTCCACTTCATGTTAATTGCAACATCATAGATGCTAATGATTTTGCCTTTGCGCTGGTTGAGATCTACGTCACCAGTCACGCTCTCTACTTCGCTCACAACTACAGTAACGCCATTATCCGAAACACCAAGTCCTTTGAGCTTGTTCATGTACTCAATCGCCCATGGAAGGCAATTCTTTTCGACCCAATGCCTTTGTTTTCAAGAAATTTAAACAAAGGTTAGCACAAATATGATGGTCTCAAACAGGTCGATCAAACATTCACAAGACAGATCCACGATTCAAGCCATTGTGTGGATTCAAATAAGATGGAAACTAGATTTTGGATAGTCTAGATTTAACGAAACAAATGCATATCCATCAACTAAACTTGCCAGTTATTGACATTCTTCCAATTGGTACCAGTTTGGATAGACATGACTATTTCTGTATAGTAGAATGACGAGAAAATTAGCCAACAGATGTATCAGAATGTCCAAGTATGAAGAGTACTGATGAAATGTGACAGATTCGACTGTGGGATGGTCGAATTCAATAAATAAACAACCAAATAGAGTTAAATTTAGATACATACAATGATGAATAGATATATAAAAATCAGCTAGATTCAATAGCAAGTAATAGTAATTGGTAGCGACAAGCAGGACAATCCTATAAATATCAAAAAATTTCCGTCAGATTCTTTGCAATTCGTTTCGAGTCGTTGGCATACAAGGTCATGTGACTTTTCCATCTTGCCAAACAAATTTACAACAGTCTGGATCTACATCCAATACATACAATGGCTGCCACAGACACCGAAAGTATTGCCAAAGAAACCTCTGCAGAAAAGGATTGCCTTTATTCTTTAATGCTAGTTAGTAATCTAGCTACTACAGTATGTCATTGTATATATTGATTGAACTTATTCTCGTTTATGATACATGGTCGAGTATACTACTACTTGATATCTGGGCCAAACTGTAGTACTCTGAATGTTATTTAAAAAAGCACCAAAAGGCTGTAGAGATTTAAATTAGCTTACGCTGCATCAGCTCTATTTGTCGATTCTAGTTCATATTGGTTGACTTCAATCTAGGCTTAATCTTTTAAAGCTATTTTCTGTCCGAGTAGCCCATCATGTTTGTATTCTCAGTGTAAAGACCAACTTAAACTCTATTTGTATGGTCATCACTGCTTAATAATATTAGGAGGAGATCAAAAAATCATATCGCAAATTAGCTTTGCAATACCATCCAGATAAACTAGGATCAGCAGCCACGGACGCTGAACAACAAGAAGCCAAGGAAAAGTTTCAAAAGTTGTCTACTGCTTACGCAATCTTGTCAGATCCTTCTCGCAGGGCTCGATACGATGCTACCGGTTCACTGGATGATTCCATTTTGAATCTAAAAGACGACAATGTTTCATGGGATACCTTTTTCCGTGGAATATGGTCTGGTGTGGTGAATGAACAGTCCATCCAAGACTACAAGATCAAGTATAAATGTATGTAAAGTTTCATTTCATGATATTAAGTTGATTGATTTGATTTGTCCATAATTCCGCATCTAGTAACATTTAAATATGGTTTTTTGCATCATAAAATTTAGTTTCCGAAGAGGAACGGCGGGATGTGTTGGACTCGTATGTCAAGACCAAGGGTGTTTTGCTGAGCATCATTGATTGCGTGCCGCTTTCGACCCTTGATGACATTAGTCGTTTCCAAGCCATAATCGAAGCCTCCATTGCTGCAGGAGAGGTGGAACATTTTAAAAAGTTTCCTCACGTTAATTCCCGTGAAATTGCTCGGCGCAGAAAGTTGGAAGCTAAAGAAGCAAAAGAAGTAGAGCAGCTACTGGAGGATAATGTAACTAAAAAAAAGCACGGAGCCAAGAATGACAACAAAAAGCCCAAGCCCAAAAATGCAAAGAATTACATTGATGGAGATACTGACAATGCAGATATTATAGGTGATGAAAATACTCTTGCAACCATGATTCAAGCCAAAAATACTTCTAGAATGGAATCACTGATTTCTAGACTAGAAGAAAAATACCAACCAAAGTCTGTAAAGAGAAAAAGGGTAGCAAAGACCGCAGACTCCAAGTCCAGCTCAGCAGAGTCCAATTCCAAGGTTAAACCTACCGATATCGGGAAATTACAAAATACGGAGCCATCAGCCACTTTAAATGATTTGAAGAATATGAAATCTGCTTCACAGGAAACCACTTCTTCACCATCCAACACGCTATCTGAATCTAGACATCCTGTAAGCGACGAAGCTGTTGATGATGACAGTGAGGGGAAAACTGAGACTAGTAGTAATTCTACTTTTACAGAAACTCGCAAGGCACGAGGAAACGCAATATCCGCCCCATCACGCTCGTCTAAATCTACTACGACTACAAGACGTTCAAAAACACGCATCAAGTGAAATGATTGAATAGCGTTTTCACCAACTTGTTCGAGTCTCCAAACTTCTCATTGTTAAATTTCAATGCACTTTTTGATGCGATTTACTCAATGAACATTTCTCATATCACATCTGCGAATAGATTTTGATACGCATCGTTGATGGGATTTAAACACGGATTCGCTTTACTTGATGATTGCATTTGTTGTATCTGATGCAACTGTTTCTCCTTTTGGCTGTGTTGCGTATCCGTACCTTTTATATGAAATGGCATTTCTACACCGGGAGGATGGGTATATTTCAAATGCTCAGTCCAAAGATCCGTAGATGATACCTCACACATCAATTGCTCTGGATCTTCAAGTACTATCTTGCTTTTTTTTAAATATTGGCCCATTTCCAGATGCTGGTTGTTTGGTTCTACTTCGGATTCAAATTGTATGAGATCAGATAAGCTTATACGAGACTGCAACTCGACCGCTTCATGTTGCAGTTTGCTAGTATAAGCAATGTCTTGACCATCCTCAAAATCCTTCATCCGATCTTGTGTAAAATTTATCAAACCATCGAGTTCAAACGATTCAAAGTCGCTGTCAAATTCTGTTTCCGCCATATTTGCTGTATTCTTTGTTGAAAGTTTATGAACGTTTGAACTAGTATTGGATTTTCTTGCAGTATTTTGTAATGACTGATAACCATGAGGTATGGTAGATGTGTTGTTCAGATTGGCAGTACAGCTCTTGTTGACTAAAGGATTTGGTTTGGCTTTGGATTTTTTTAAAGTTTGTTTGCGTTTCAAACTCTGTGTCCAAGTTATACCAACTTTGCAGCAATGATGCGCACATTTGGCTTTGTCACGACAGCTATGGTTACATGGCTTCATTTCAATACGCTTTTTTGTTACATTGCTGTCGGATTGATATTTTTCTGGTGTAAGGTTGGTAGGTGCTACTTTTATGCATTCTGGTATTGCTATAGACACATTATTTTCTATTTTGGCTTTATGGATTGCATTCGGTAGTTGAGGAGTGAGTCTGACCGAAACATTCAGTCCAACTAGGTAAATTATCATTTGTTTTTACCTTGTTAGTCTATATTCATCTCATCTATAAAAGTTGAGTATATTTTCAGGGTTAAGCTACGCACCATAGTCTTCACAAAACAATACACAGTCAACCGCCATGTTTAAATTTTCCAGACCAATTTTTATAAAAAAAGACTCTCCGGATTTGAGCTTGTTTATGCTAACCGCCAGTTTAATGTGATGCAAATATAAGTCTCTTTAATGCTTAAATGTGTCTATTAAAGTGAAATCATTTTGTGATATGCATCACTCACCTTATACTGCGATACTCGAGCAATTGATTGCTGGATGTACCTGCCACAAAAAAGCATATACTGTGACCACGTCGGCTGTGTACCTTTACACTGTCTGGGTTTTGAAGACCAAGACTCACGCTTAATTCTACTTCAGAATTCGATTGAAATTGAGAGTAGATTTGAATTTGTGAGACAGTCATTAATAGGTGTGGCAGGCTGGCGGCTGATTCAAGAATCTAAATATTAGGGATCCAACAAAAGTGTATCAGATACTGCTTGGAATGAATATCAATATGACAATAATCATACTTTGCTACCAAATGGTGGATTTCGATTCACTAATGACTCAATTTCAAATGAGCTCGCATCTTGAAGCTGCTTGAAAGTAGAGATTCCACCATTTAGCAAAGCACGCGCCAGTTGTGGTCCGATACTATCCAACTGTTTAAGTAATAGTTTCGAAGTATCCCATGACTTGGCGTGAATAGCCTGCAGTAGAGTGAGAGCATGCAATAATGATTTAAAATCTTTCTTAGCTGCCATTATGTCGCACATACAACGCGCAATCCTTGATGCACTTTGAAGAATGCCAATGGTTTCATTTCGCATTGTATGCATACTCTTTTGTTCAGTAAAAGGAATTGATCCCAAGCAACACTAATGGTTTACAGTATGTTTGAAATTTGGATGTATTGGACGGTAATTTAGTTGTAGGTAAATCAGGTATTTTCCAAAAAGTATTAAATCGAGCGGAGCTATAGATTTACACTCGTACCTGCAAAAGTATGTTGACCTTGTCATTGATTGTAGATATTCGCCCTTTGATAGGAAATTTAACATCGGCATGTTTGTTGAGTGCATTCAAATGTGCCTTGTCGGCATGAAATCGAATACTACTAAACTCTTGTGCTTTGCATAAGGTTGATAGCTAGTTAACGCAAAAAGAGATTGGCCATTGTATAGTCAGTATTGATTTGTGATGAGAAACTACAATAAATCAATTTACCATTTCTTGCAGCAAAGCACCCCGTCCAAGCTTAACCATGGCAAGTACACTATTAAACATAAGGTAATACTTGGCCATTGCCTTTCCAAATTCTTGTATACCACGTTTAATATACAAGTGATAGTTTTAGTTGAACTATCAATGAAGCCGCCTGTAGTATTTTATTTGACTTACCTGAAGCCTGGATATTTTTCAACGATGCATCCATTGACACAAAAGCATTTTCTTCAAGTATTTCAAGATTGCTCAAAAACATTGCTAATTCAAGTAAACACGATTACAGCACATTATTATATCATTAATATTTCAAATTAAATTCTTAATTAAATTGGCATAATTGGAGACAATTATGATACTTTCAAGTCGCGTTTCAGCAGAAAGTTTACTAGCATCTTTTGAGCAATTTTTGAGACGATATCGTATTGGGTTTTGTCGGATTCGGATATAGAGAAATGTGGATTGAAGCCTTTAAGTCGAGATTTATAAGAGTTAGTAGTTTTCGTGTATTGTGGTATTGATCTGATTTTACTGATAAAAATATAGTTTACCACTTCAATGCGCTCTGGCGATTTGATATGCTGCCAAGAACTACTTCAGCATTTAAATGCTCAATAAGATTATCATGAAGACTAGAATCATAATGCCACATGACAATATACTCGTAAGTGCCTTTTATATAATCTTCTAGTGTACTCAATGTAACTTTACCTGCTTTCAATTACTTCTCGTCCAGATATCAGTTTTTGAAAGTGTTCAGTTTTATCTAGCGATGTCATGATAATAGATATCCCCGTTGTATCAAACTACCAAATTAACAAATAATTCAAAGTCAACCTATTTTGACGACTACTAGAAATATCATCTTTTTTGGATGATTGCCATGCAATCCTTCAACTTTACATACCTGAGGCCTTCCTGCTCGTCCAATCATTTGCTCAATGTCCATATCAGAATAGTCCCGAAATTCTCCATTAATATACTGAGATGTACCCTTGATAATCACAAGATGAGCAGGTAGATTTACTCCAACTGCTAGCGTCGATGTTGTGCCTATGCAAGCAATTGAATCATCAAACATACTTATGGCTTTAAAGTGGATTTTGCATAAAATGCGCGATCACTTACAAATGACTCGAATGCTTCCTCTTGAAAATAAACTTTCAACTTTCTGCCTATCTCCATATTGTAGTCCTTTGAAATGTATACTATAATCAGTGATTCAAACCTATTCTTGATTGTACTCGCACTTTAAATGCTCACCTCCATGATGAAATGCCACTCGTTCTCGCATGTAATCATGCAATACTTTATCCGATACATCCGGATGCTGTTCAACGCCTCCTTTGTATTCCAGCCCATTAGTGAATGGATGAAACCCAGAACTAGAAATCAATTTACATTCTTTTGCAAGCTGTCCTGCTGCTGATATGGCAGACTTTCTAGTAGAGCAAAACTATAATTGTTGCGATCAATCACCATTTTCAAATTACAACTCAACCTTGATACAGGCAATCAAACTCACCACCAGAGTTGGCTTAGAGGATGAGTACTGTTGGATCAACTCCATCAGTCTGATACAATAAGTATAGTAGCAAAATATAATGCGTCAAAAAGAATAAGAATGCATAATACATTGGCAAATAATACTGTACTTGAAATCCAAGTTCTGTTCAAACAGAAATGAGCTTCCGTTAGTATTGTTGGGATACCCGATCACTTTGCGTACAAGCTGGACTGGGCGATATTCGTCTCCAAATACCCTATTTATTGCGGTTTAGTGCTAGTCCTATTAGAAATTCAAGTATGCGATCAAATTAAATCAACCTAAGCTCGGCAGGTCGTTCATCTGAATTCTTTAGCCACTCGGCAATGTCGTTTATATTTGGAACTGTTGCCGAGACTGCCAAGATTCGAATAGGTCTTGATTCATACTTTTCTTGTACATTTTTTAAAGCGTCTTGGTTTGAACTATCAACATGCTCAGCAGTTGACAGCGAATAGATCTCACTATGAACTGCCTTCATTCGACTCACAATGACCTCTAATGTTGCTCCTCGGCCTGGCTCCTTTAGTATATGCACTTCGTCCAGCTACATTATCAATGGTTACACGCATCAATTTACTGTCAATGAATTTGATTTTAATGGCATTGACCTGATTGTGCAAATTGATATAGCATAACTCACCAAAACAAGTCGGAGCATCTTCATCAAGTGCCTGTGGTCCCGCCACTTTCGGGTCATAATATCCCATTTTTCTGGTGTGGTGACAATGATGTTGCTTCTTTGAATTTCGCTTATTTGCTTGTAATCTGTATCACCTGTCAGTTCTCGACAAGTAAGCCCAACAGATTTAAATTTGACTTGCCAGTCACGAACCCGTTCATTGCACAATGCTTTGGTTGGTGAAATATAAACTATTTTGGACTGGTCTCCACCATGTTCTGTCAACAATTTTAAGATCGCTTAAATATATGTTAATAACAAGCCTCATACTTTGACCAAGATAAAATAAAATACTGTACTCACCCAGCTCCATCATGACTGTTTTTCCGGATCCAGTTGGTGCTGTAGCAAACATTGTTATTTTAGAACCCATACTAAACAGCCAAATTTTTGTATACCATTTAGACTTTGAGCATGCTAAATAGCCTCGACAATCTTACCACTTATGACGGCGTTTGAGTTTGATTTGAAAATAAGATCAAAGCATATTGATTGAACCTCATTCAGTGTTTCAAACGAAATTACGGATTTAAAGCGGTGTGCTGAATGTACATATTGTAGTTAGTTGATAATTATGTGAGGATATGGATCGAGTTTCGGGATATTAAAATAATGATAAACACCTACGTAAACTTTGAGATGTGGATATCAAGTCATGCGATGGATTCTTTACAGACGGTTTTTGTTGAGACATGATGGGTAGGAAGGGCTGAATTGGGCTTAAAGATTTAGAATCGGCATAATAATTGCAAAGTGGTTGTAAATTCCGAGCGTCTACTTGATTTGCTCTTGCAAGTGGGACTTTTCGATAAGATTCAGTTTGACTTGGATCAGTATTATCAAATTGGAATCTCATATCTAATGAACTTTTTCTAAAGTTATTTTTTCTGATTGAATAATGACGGTCAGCAAAACCAATTTCAATAATCATAAAAAATCGCCAATTCAAAACATACATCAAATGGTTTGGTGATAGCCGATGAAATTCAGGGTTAAACTTTAAAGTGCTGTCACTGCTGGATTGAAAGGGTAAAAAAAAGTTTGGTGATTCAATTGTAAAGTTTAAATCGAGATCATCAGTAGTGGAATCGTGACATGGATCAAACTCGGCAAAGGAATCAAAGAGTATTTGAGTATTTGGTCCTTGAAAAGAATTTTGAAAATAAGAATGAGTGTCTGATGATAAATTCAATTTCATGTGAGACATGTCTGCAATTGGACTAAAAGTTTCTGGGTCGGCAGAGTGCTCGGCTTTAAACAGCTTAAATGGATTATATTCAGGTGTAAACTGGCATTTTCAAATATAACCAAAAAGGATTCAAGCTATTTAGTGTATTGAAAAACAATAATATTCAAGCGGATTTGTGTCTCACAACTTACTTGATTGCTTCGAGTAGTTTGTGTGATTGGCAGATTTACATTTTCATTCATATCAAAGGGATATTCATTTGTATAATTTGAAAATGAATCAGTCTCAATAAACTGAGTTGGTATATTTTCCTTGAATACATTCTGATCTAGCTTTGAATCCTCCATTAACTGATAGTGCTCGAGTTCGTGGTGGTGGTCGAGTCCATACATTACAGCCGTATTCACGTAAAATGGAATACTTTTATCTTGTCTCTATTTTGCATCAGAATAGACAAATGTTTGCTGCGCTTTTCTACTACAAACTGTTTTTGATTGGCATTGTCAGTTCTTGTCAACATACAGCATTCATCATACGATGCACACAATCAAACTATAGTTTTAAACTGTGATTATCGACTTTTTTGCAGTCATACATTGTACAATCATCAGATTCATCCATTGTCATCCAGATATTGGATTTGACTGTTTTGGTGTTGTCAAACTACAAATCCATATGTATTGTATCACATCTGATACGTTTGCAATCTAGTTCAAAAAACCAACGATTGCAGTCTCGGAAATACAATTGTTTCCATGTCAATCACAATATCACAATATTCAATTTGTAAGAATGGAGATGAACAAGT